AAAAAAAAAAAAAAAAAAAAAAAAAAAAAAAAAAAAAAAAGTAAATCAATGTGTCAGCTGCAGGGGGTATGAATAAAGGGTTTTCCTTTTCTCTTTCTCTTAGGGCAAATTTGGGTTGACATTCTACCTCTGTCCTTCTGGAAGTCTAATAAAGAGGCAATGTCAGCTGTGGTATTAGCAGCATTGCTTATGGTAAAAAATAACTCCTGACTGGCAAACTGCCTCTGGGCCAGGATATATAAATCCCTCCTGGATAGCCCTGGCTTTAGGTCTCCCTAATTGCAATGACTTGTAACGAGGCTTATTGCTTATGGGGAAACTGAAAGCTACACCCATGGGACATAAGATATTAATTTTTATTTGGGACAGGGAGTTTCTAAACTAAGGTTGTTCCCACACCCACCGATATGATCTTGTCTCTTTGCACCTGAGCTATCATCTGGGGGATCAAAGAAAACTAATCACTAGATCACTACAAAAACTCCTGCTGAAGAGAAGTGTCAGATGCTGTCCTGCTGGCACAATCTTTCTCATCTGGGACCCTTCTGAGTTGAGACAAAGACCACCTGACAGTGAACATTTCAGGGGCAAATCCAGATCAAGTAGTTTTGAAGATAGGATTCCAACCCTGTTCTGTCTGACTGTAGAGCTGTGGTTCTAAATCTTGGCTACACATCGGACTCACATTGAAATGACATTGAATCACTTGCCACAGTGGGCATAGCAATAAAAAGAACAAAATGCTGCTACACATAACATGGATGAATCTCTCAGGCATAATGGTGAAGGAAAAATGTCAGACACAAAAGAATACAAACTGGATAATTTAACTTATCTGAAATTTAAACACAGGCAAAACTAACCAGAATAGTGGCCATCACTGAGGAGTGGATATTGACTAGAGGCAAAAGGGAACCTTCTAGGGAACTATAAATATTCCTTGTCTTGATCTGTGTTGTGCTTACATGGTAGGTATATATATTCATAAAGTATGTGAAAGCAGCCTTAGTCAGGGAATCCAGAAACAGAAATATAGGCTGGACCCAAAGGTGGGTGGGATGCTTAATTGGAGATTTGAGGCCTTGGGCTAGAGGATGCATCTTCCAGAAAAGCTCCCACTGACCCTTGCAGGGTAGAGAGTGTTAGCCCCACAATAAGGTGTATGAATAGTAGTTCTATCAGAGGGACCCCAGACTTTGAGAAAAGGAGAAATAGGGACATGGGGCTTAAATGTTCAACTCCCAAGGGAAGCAGGGAAGAAGAACTTAGGGCTACAACCAAAAGGCAAAGCTCCACTATGCAAGGAGCTGTTAATATAAAACACAGGGGAGGTAATATTTTATGAATATCAAGTGGCAGCTTGTGGGATGGTAATTTTTTTTATGTAAATGTTTATTGAGTTGGAGCCCGCAGTAGTTCAAGTATTTCTTTTCAAAATTTATGACTATATAAACAAATAGATCAACATGCTAACCAAAAAGGAAACAAGACTTCTGCATTTCTGATCAATGCAAGAATACCAGTTTAGACTGTATCTTTTCTTGACCGTCTGGCATTCTGACATAGACATAAAAAACTTTTTGCAATAATGTCCTTAATTATATTGCCCTGTAGATAGAAATAGTGCTGAGTTTCTTTTCCTTTTTTCTTTTATTCCAAATATTTTAACATTTACTTGTACATATTTGTGGGGTACATGGTGTAGCGGATTGAATGTCCCCTCCAAACTCATTGAAGCTTGAAGTGTGTCCCCAAGTTTTATGTATTGGAAACTTGGCCCCCACTATGACTGTTAAGAGAGTGAGAAATCCTATTATGCTAATTGAAAGGTGGCCTTAAAGAGGTGATTAGAGGCCGGCCCGTGGCTCACTCGGTAGAGTGCGGTGCTCATAACACCAAGGCCACGGGTTCGGATCCTATATAGGGATGGCCGGTTTGCTCACTAGCTGAGCGTGGTGCTGACAACACCAAGCCAAGGGTTGAGATCCCCTTACCGGTCATCTTTAAAAAAAAAAAAAAAAAAAAAAAAAAAAAAAAGAGGTGATTAGATTGCAGGACCAATGCTGTAATGAATGGATTAAAAATGGTGGTCAGGGGCATGGTTCTGAGGGCCTTAAAAGGAGAGTGAATGAGGAGGTTAGTCTCTCTCTGTTCCACTATTTTCACAATGTGATACCTTGCCATCACTGTCACCACCGCCAAGACCTTCAACAAATGTGTTCCCTAGACTTTCGACTTCCAGCCTCAGAAAATGTAAGCAATAAATTTTGTTTTCTTTACACATTACCCAATTCCATATTTTGTTATAAGCAACAGA